TAAAAAATGATATGAAGGAAGAATGTGATGGGTTAAAAATTTTTTCATGTTGGAGTTTAAAGTTAGTTTCTTGAAGACCAATGATATCTAAGTTATATGAAGAATATAATGATAAAAGGTGGTATTGTTTGACGATGTTAGTGAAAGATCAGACATTATGGGTTGTGAAAGAAAGTTTAGATACATTAATAGGTGTCGTATTAGAATTATCATTAGATGGGAAAATATATTGTTAATATTTGTAGGGACAGTAATCATAAGAATATTTTAAAATTGGGAAAGGTTCTTTAGAGCCTTTTCTACTTCTATATCATAATTAGTATTAAGGATGTACAATGTTAACATTTTGTTAATTTGAAGTAAGTCATTATAAATGAGAACTGCACGGAATGTGTTGCAAGTATTGACTAAGGTATTGACAGTTTCAGTGAAGTTCTTAAGGCGTAAATTTTGAGCGTCTGTAATCTTTATGAGAGTTGCAATAATTTGTCATTGTTTACTAATAGTTGACATAGAAGTATCAACAACTGGGCCATTTTCATATTGTTCTAAGTCATAATTAGTCATTACTTCTTCATCAGAAAAGCTGACTTTAATATTGAATGTTTATTCAATTATCTCCATTCGTTTCATAATGGAATTTAAGGTGACTGTGAGATCGTCAAGTTTTTGGGTGAGTTGTAAAAAACTTGCTTTAATAAAGTCTTTAAAGTTACTATCAGTATCTTTTTCATACATAGAGCCTTTTGCTTTTGTTCTTGTAGAGAGGTCACGTGATTTTTGTTGTTGCTGATAAGATTGATTGCTCTGTTATTTTATATTCAGAGGGATGTCATCACTCCAATATAGTGATAAAGTAGAGAGTTGTATTGGAGAACTATTTTTTATATTCTTATTCAAGAATCACAGGACCTTAGGCATACTAGTCTATATAGGTAGTTTCTGTGTACTATCTGTAACAATATTAGCAAAAGTGATATTGGGACTAATAGCACCTTTATGAGAATGAATTGGGGCTTTATAGTTATTGTATTGTGCCAGTTAAAATCTTTGGTATAGATATTGGGTACTTTTATCTTGAGAAGTGTGATGTTTTTTAGGACAATCTTTGATTTTGTGATGTGACGAGAAGCAAATAACACATAATTTGACTTGGGTCTCAGTCCATTCTACATGTTTACCATTGATGGTGAGATTATCATTACTGATCACTACTTCGTAGTTGTCAGCTAAAGGAAAATAAAAGAATGCATATTGTAGATTGTGATAATTAGATCTGGCTTTAGAAATAATCCAGGTCATTATATTAACCATCAGACCCAAATCAAATAAATCTTTACCTGTAATATAATGAGGGAGACATGTAAGTTTAGTTGAGAATTTAGATCGTTCTAAAATTTTATCACATAACAGGTCACACATGTGGAAATGAACTATATCGTTGAAGAGGAAGACATCATAACCTTTTTTGAATTCAATAAAATTTGTATCTGCATCGTATGTAATCGTGGCTTATTGCTAGAGATTCTTTGTTTTTATGTTAAATCTAACGATCTTACTGAATCAGAAAAAGATCTTTTTGATACACAATTCTATAGCATCCAATAGTATTTCAGTAACTTTAATTGATTGTTATGGAACAAATGGATGTTTTAGCACAATTTTGAAGGGTAAAAACATGTGATTTTTCAAATTAGGCAAGATGACTTTACAAAATGCGTCCCTTTCGTTCTTATCAGAAAATGTCGCTTTTAAGATCTTTTTTGATTGGTCCTCTGGGTGTTTAGCAAGTATAACACTTGAAAATAAGTCAAACTAATTGAAAACGAGGTCAGTGATGTCAGAGATTTTTGTTTGAAAGGATTTTTCAGGGTAGTCGTCCGCTAGGAAAAATGCAAAAAAATTCATTTTTTTGGTAGAAATTTCTTGAGGGCTTTTTTTGTTAGTCAAAAAATTTTCTGAGGCATTGTTAGCATTGTTAACATTCATGAGTACTTGTTTAAGAGTGACAACTAGAGTTATTTTACCTGTTGAAACTTCTTTGCCTTTTTCTTTATTGAGTGGAAGAAGATCGATATTCATAATAATTAGAGTTTCTTTGTTGTTGTTGTTGGTGAAGATACTACTTTTAGATTCAGTAGTTTGTAAAGTATTTTGTTTTTTACTTGATTGTTGCTCTGGAATACCAGAGCGAGAGCGAGATTGTTATTTTTATTTGATTTTTATTATTCTCTTTCTTTGGTCTGCCCATGTTGCAGAAAGAGTTTTTTTTTTTTTTTTTAAAAAAAAATAAAAAATAATTTTTTAATATATAAACTTTTTTTAATAAATTAGTGTAATAATATCCTGTAAAGTGATTTTAATAGCAAAATCTCAAGTAATACAAAATTGATTTCAAGTTTTACAAAAATTAGTTCGGTAAAATAATTTTAAATAATAAATTTTATATATTTTATTATAGCAAAATTTTAAATATTATAAAACAACAATTTAAATAGTAAAAATTTTAAATAATAAATTTTAGTATTGTCTTAATAATTAATTCAACTTAATATTTAAAAATAAAACAATTTATTATTGATTAAAAATGTTTACTGTAACGTAACATTTTTTTAATCATCATTTATTCAAAATCAATTTCTTATCCCGTAAGGTGATTTTAATAGCTTAGCTTCCATATTTTTTTTATTCATCTTCTATTTCTGATTTAATTTATTTTTATTAATTTTTTTATTGTTTTTCTATTTAGTTTTTATATTTTTATACATTTCCCTTTCCTGTTATTATTTTTTTAGTTTCTATTTTTTTTTTTTGTTTTTCTATTTTATTTTTATATATATATATATATATATTTTTATTATTTGTTTTTTTATTTAATTTTTTATATTTTATTTATTTCTCTCTAATTTTTTTTTATTAATTTTCTTTATTTTTTTAGATTTTATATTTTTATATTTATATTTTTTTTATTCCTTTTCCTTTCTTCTATTTAATTATTTTTTATTAATTTCTATTTAATTTATTAATTATTTTTTATTTTTTGATAGTTTTTATATATATATATATATATTTTATTAATTTATAATTTTAATTTTATTTATAGTCAACTTTTATTATAATGAACTCTATGTCTTAGATTTAACTTTGCTATAAGGCTATAGTAAAGATTTTAAGAGATTTAATTAGCCAATTCGCTATAATAAGAGTATTTTTATTATATTTATTTAAAAGATTCATTATATTAAGAGTTAACTGTATTCTTATTTAATTTAATAATTTAATTTTTTTTACCTTTTTTTCTTAATTATTAATAATAACAATTGCGATTTTAAATATATTAGAGATTTATTGTTTCTGAAATTTAAGGCATTGTACTAGTTGAATTACTAGTAAAAATAATAAATAATAAAAATAATAATAAAAAGAAAATTTTCGTCAATCACCTAATTGTATTATCTTGATGAGCTAAAGGGTATCACATCTGAAAAGGCAGAATAGATCTTAATTAAAATTGAAAAAAAGTCATTAGATTTGATTAATAATCAAAAAATAAGTAAATAATAAAAAAATTACCATTTTATTATGTTATTGTAATAAACTAAAGTGGTGAATCTATTGATCTAATCTATAAATAAAGATAATACTGCAACTAGTTGCAATTATATGATGCTTATTTATTATAGGGTTGTAACTAATTGCAACTTAATTTTATTAATATCGCAACTAATTACAACCCTGTAACAAATAAGCATTACATAGTTATAGCGTTATCTTTATCTATAAAATAATAAACTAAAAAAAATAATAAAATTATTAATCAATAATTATGAAATAATTAATAAGTAAATAATTAATAATAGAAATAAATAATACATATTAGAAAAAAAAAATAACAATAAAATAATTTCATCATATACTATCATGATAGACCAAATCTTTAAACAACCTTTATTTCTTAAAGTAGATTCCTCCTCTACTTTATTTTCTACCTTTTAGTATTAGTGTTAAGTTAGGGTTAATGTTAGTATTAGTGTTAGTATAAGGTAATAATAAGTATACTATATAATAATGGCTAGTCATTGGCATTACATGAATCACCTAAAAAGAAAAATTTTTTGAGGAAAAGGAAATTATTTCATCACTCAAACGCCTAAAAATCCAGTTTATACTAATAAAATCACACTAATTTTTTTTTACAATAAACATTGATCCTCCTTTATTATAGTATGTTAAATAATTAGTACCCTACCCAAACAACCCTAACAATAATGTACATTAAACTTTAAAAGCTTATAACTCATCTTATTAATTTTAAATGTAGAAATACTCATTTAAAACTCATATATTTTTAATAAAAATTTTGTTTGACCATAACTAGTTATACTAGCTAGTTCAAAATCGATCATTAACCATCAGTTTTAAATGAAGAGTATTTATTTTCTATAAAAAATACATCTTGCATATTATAAATTTTTTTTTTTATGTTTTTGAATAATTAAAATATTGTTAAATACAAATATCAAATATTTTGAAAAATTCAAATTTCTACTTGAATTATCAACTGCTTTTTTTTTATTTCTTTAGTAATCAATTCATTATATACAATTAATCTCTTTCAAAAAAAAATTCTTTTCCTTGCCTTTTTTTTGAATGCCTAAAGAAGGTATTTAAAATTAAATTCAACGCTATGATTGGATGGCAATTTAAGTAATACAAACAAACACAAATTTTCAAATATTCAAATTCGCCATTGTAAAAAATACTCTCATCAGATAAAAAAAAATGCACCTTAAGAAATCGTCATCAAACTATACAACATTTAAATAAATTAAAAAAAAATTTTATAAAAATTATGATTGAAAAAATTTTCAAGCTATAAGAAAAGGATAAATAAAAAACAATTATAATCTTTTCAATGAAAATATAATTCTGAATTGCTGTGATCTAAAATCTAATTTATAATTCTATAACCCATAAATAAAAAATTTATTAAATCTTTTCTAACTCTTATAGTTTGTGTTAGAAGTTTGTTCACTATGATGTGCCCGTTTCTCGCGTTTAAATTTTGACTCTTTTTTAACCGTTTGAAGCATTTCGTTTTTAAAATTCTCCAGGTCAATATTCTGTCAAATATCAGTCGCTTCTCTTCCATGATTATAAACCTTTTTATTTGTTAAATTTTCATTTTCATTTTCAGGTATTTGCGAAATAGATTCTTGTCCATGATTATGCATTTTTTGAGTTGTTGAGATTATTTCATGGCCTTGTTCTTTAATATTACTTTCTTCATCTCCAGGAGTTGGTATCACTTTTATATCTTCTTTTTTCTTTTTATTCCATTTATATACAAAAATTCCACCCAATAATGAAAATACCAACCCACCACCTACAACTGCACCAATTATAATTGGCATCTTAGACTGTTGTGCCTTCGATGTTAATGTAGGTGATAATGAAGGTGATAATGGAAGTACGTCGATCCATTTATATTCATCATTATTACTAATATCAAGTAATAAAACATCATTGTCACCATCATAGCCCCTTCCTGTTAAATACATTATATAAATATATAACTGAAATTTCAATTGGATTTATGTTGATAAAAAAAATAAAAAAATTTTATATTCACCAAATGATATAGCCATATAATTTCCTATAACATTTGCTTGATGGGAAACTCTGGAACTTGGAACCCTTCCGGAAATTTTTGGAGTGTACCATTTGAAATTTGTTAAATCTAATACATAAAGGGGATCAAGTGACCCAAGTTTATATCCTCCATAAATTATTATTCGTCGTCCATCCAATCCTTTTAAAATATAATAATTCTTTATTAACTGAAATTCAAAACATATTTTAATGATAAATTTCGATGATTATTTACCAAGAACGACAGAAAAGCCAAATCTATCAGAAGGAATTGTTCCAGAAGTTGTCTAGTTCGATTAAAAAATATTATTTTTACTATTAAAGTTGTAATTATAAATTATAAGGAGAACTTACCATCGTGGCCCAAGCATTATTAATTGTATCATATAAATAAACCTAAAATTATTAAGTAGGTATAAAAACAATCGTTCATACGTTATATAAATTTTAATAAATAATTCACCTCATTTAACGGTAAAGGTCCGTTATTATATCCACCTAAATAAATAATGCGTTGATCCGGTAGAAGAGTTGCACCATAATCAAATCTTGAAGTCGGTGCATTAATTAAACTTGCTTTTCCCCAGATCAAACTTATTGTATCAAAAATAGGCATATCATTAACAACTTCATCACTTGCCTTTCCACCGAACAAATATATCTTTCCATTATTGAAAATGCCTGTCAACCCACTTGTGCCGATTATATCTTTTCCAGTAATGTTTGGAGAGAGCCATAAGTTAATTTGTGTATCATATCTATATACCAAATCCATTGATTGCTTATTATTGTAAGGAATTCCTCCAAATAAAATCAAAGTATTATTGTTTATACCGCCTTTAACAGATGTGGCACTATTATGAGATGGAATGATATTATTACCAGTCATGTCAATCCATAATAATGCTTTTGCATTAAACGAAGCAGTTACATCAAGATAAAAGAATTGCTTTCCAACAAGTTCATCACCATCATCATTTCGACCACCCAATACGTATAACTTGTTATCGATAAATGTAGCAGTATGAAGGTATCGTTGTGGTGGCTTAAAAGCCTTTTGGCAATTTACTTCAATTAATAATCGTATCAAAAGCAATAATATGATAATTATCAAAGTAATCTTCGGCGGCATGATTTACTTTGTTTATTGCGGTGAAAGAATTCTTTTTGATATTTACATATATATATATATATAAAGATTTATATAATCATTGTAATACACCATGTCCGTATCACAAAGTCGACTTGTGTCATCCCATTCTAATTTGAATTACCTTTTTTAAATAAATTTTAAAGCTCGACATACAGTACATAATCTCAAGCTCAACTTTCTCATCATTAAGCTCAGCAAACTTTTTTCTAAGTTCAGGAATCTCGCCATTCTCGGTAACAAGCCTGCTGATCTTCCTCTCTAAATAATTTTATCTTATAAATATTCAGCGTGACAAAATTATCACGCCGATCACTTTTTGTCAAAGAAAAAAGTTTGCACGCCCACCTTTTCATTTCATTCAAAGCAGAATAAATATATTAACTTTATCTCTGGACGGCCAGAGGATAAGTTATACCTAAAATCTCTGATGGAGGAATGATGATCAGAGAGAATTTTTTTCTGTCAATTTTGCATACACTAGATAAAAAACTAATTTTTTATCATACATTAGACTAAGAAAAATCCAAAAATATATTCACAATATGAACTTGCCAAACATATTATATTCTTTTTTACATGTTTACATGTGGATGATTATTTTCGAGATATAAGGTAGCTGATAAACATAAGAAGTGAATGATTTCAAATCAAACTATTGAATACTTTGGGGTTGTCAGCTATTCAGGCAGAATTGACCCCATGTTTAGGAGATGATAAATACATTTTGGAATAAATATTTTTTTTTTTCAAAAAGAATAAATCTGAATAAAAACAAATGGGATGGGATTTAAAAGAAATGGATCTTAATTATAATACTGCAAGATAATAAGATATTACCGTCATCATATTGTCTATAAAATAGAATATAATGAATAAATCCTTAATACTTTATACCTACCTTTATAAATTTCAAATATTTGCGCATTATCAAGTTTTTATATCCATCCACTGCTAACATACCACCATTAAGGTTGCCGGAAAAACCCGGTCTTACCGGGACCGACGCCTGGTGGTCTTCTTCTTTCCTTCATTATAGACATTTGACAAAATTTAAAACGGCTCACTTACCGGCGACAGCACGTAAATGTGTTTTTTGCGCGGGTTGACGATATAAAGCTGGAAAGAAAAGCAAATATTCGGTATTATTGGCAAATATGACAGAGAAGACGAAAAAAAATTTACGCTATATTATCATGTAACATACCTTGCTCGACCAGCCCCGCGACCATAGAAGCCGGCTTTGGTTGTACTCAAGCTCTTATTTCGTTAGGATGAGAAAGTTTATCACTAACATTTTACTTTTGATTATCCTCAATGCCTTCGTTGTCAAGTTCTAAGTTCAAGTCCTTTGTTTTCTAAGAAAGTAATAACGTTATCTTTTTTCATTTTTTCATTATTTCATCGACTGAAGTCTTGGTTCATTTTCTCGTGTTACGGTGATCGTAAAATTAGAAAATTTTCATCATCATACACGTGAAATCGATTAGTAAATCAGTTACGTAACGATAACGTGTCATAAAATTAAAGTATAAATTCATTTCATCATTAAAGGATCGTAAAAAAATAACATTATGGCTGAAAGGATTGGAATTAGTTTAGAAAAATTAAACAATAAACTATCGAATTTGTTAGAAGAAAATAAAAGGCTTAAACAACAACATAAAGACCTTCAAGAAGAGAATCAACGTATTAATTCGGATTTCGGAGAAAAACTTCAAGAAAAAGATGAGCAATTGGAAAAGCTTCAACAAAAAATTTCAAATTTGGAAACTCAAAAAAATGAGTTTGAAATCATTTCTCAAACTTTAGAAAAAACTTTAGAATTGTTAGAATTAGGTGGTGAACAAAATAACAGTCAAACATTAACATTTCCTTTAAACGATAATGATAGTATTCAACTTGCAAAAAATTTTACAAATTCTTCCAAACATTCTTGGAGCTCCTATAATAAAGGTATGTAGTAAATCGTAGAAGAATTGATTTAATACAATTTTATTATGATAAAAGTATAATAAAATTCATTTCATAACGTTTTAAGATAATATTCGAATCGTGGTTGGATTAGACTTTGGAACAACTTACTCTGGATTTGCTTATAGTCATGTTATTAATCCACAAAACATAATTGCACATGATCATTGGCATGAATATAGTGGCTTTTCTAAAATTAATACGGTTCTTAAATACGATGATGAATATGAAAAAGTTATATCATGGGGCGCCACAGCTTTAGCTGAAAAGCCAACTCGAAGGAAAAAAGTTGGTAGTGTGCCGCCGATTGAATTGTTTAAATTGCATCTAAGTGATTTACCCAATAAGTTTAAACCGAAGCTTCCATTTTCACTTGACTATAAAAAGGTTATTATTGATTATCTTAGAGAAATCGGAAAGGTATGATCAAAAATACTCAAAAACCATTAGTATATTATTAATTTTAAATGAATTAATTTCTTGAATAATATTTTTAAGGTCATGAAGGAGGCAATTGTAATGAGGTGGCCGAACACTGATTTCTTTAAAAACGTATTATTAGTTCTTACGTTTCCTGCAGAATATTCGGAAAAAGCAAGATCGACTATGAGAGAATGCGTATATAATGCAGGGTTGATTAATGATATAAATTCAACAACATTACAATTCATTACAGAACGTGAGAACGTTCACTATTAATTTAAAATTAAAATTTTATTTTTTGATTTCTTTAATTTCTAACTTAATATGATAATTCATAGCCGAAGCCGCTGCAATATGTTGCATGAAACTACTTCGAGAACATGATCTTAAAACAGGAAGTATGTAAAAATTATTTCAAATTATGTTGATTTATATTTTAAATTTAAAGCTCATCTTAAAATAAATTACAGCAAATTTCATGGTTGTCGACTGTGGTGGTGGCACGGTAGATCTGACTACTCGTAAATTGATTAATAGAAATCATTTAGGTGAAATCACTGAAAGATTTCTGTGGAAGTACTTATATTGATAAAGAATTTATTATATATTTAAGTAGAAAACTTGGGCATAGTGCTATGGAATTGCTCAAAGAAAACCATTATGGACAAATGCAATACTTAATTCAAGAATTTAATAGACAATGTAAATTTCAATTTACGGGAGAAGTCCAAGGCTTTAGACCTTATAATTTGTATCTCGATGATACTATTCCCGTGATAAAGCAATACATTACTGGTGAGAATAGAGCAATTTTGGAAGAGACGGAATGGGAAGTTGAACTTGGTTTTAATGACATAAAATCAATGTTTGACCCTGTTGTTGAAAAAATTTTACGATTGATTCATGCACAACTCGATAGTTCTCTTGAAACATGTTCAAAAGAGAATTAAGCAAGAATTTCAACACATAGTACGTATCATTTCAATTCCTAGTAAACCTATGGTTGCAATTGAACGTGGAACTGTGATGTATGGATTATCTATGAATTCAGATTCAAATGTCATTGCTTCAAGAATTCTTAAATATACTTATGGTGTAAAAGTAAGAAAATGCTGGGTAAGTCTCTTTATAATTCATAAATATCATATCATAAATTTTAATACACTCATAAACTCATATTTTACATTTACTTTAGACGAAAGACGATCCAATTCATAGAAAAGTCCATGATGGGCGCATTGATAAATTTGATTGTTTGGTCAAGCGTGGTACTCCAATGAATGTTAATCAAGAAATTACGTGTACTTATTTACCACTTTATCCTACCCAAACAAAAGTAGTTTTTTATCTATATTATACTCAAGAATATGATGCACAATATTGTGATGAGCCTGGTATGAAACTTTTAGGGAAACTTAACATGGATCTTCCTGGCGCAGGCCTTGATAAACTTTCTTTCGGGTTGGCTTTTGGACAGATGGAAGTTACCGCCACTGTAAAGAATGAAACTAACGAACAAAAGTCCAAGATTAATTTCGAATTCGACGTCTAATATATAATTTTGTTGATTAGCATTTATTTTTAATTGCCAAAGTTCTCATTACGAGTCTATAAATATACATAATAGATAGTTATACTTAAAATAAATAAACCTATCTTTGCAAAGTATTTGCATAGAATAATTGGAGGTCGTTGCTACAAATAAAATTTTTTTTTTTTTTACTAAAAAGTTGCATTGAGATAGCTTTATTTATTATTATTATTTTTTTTTTTGAACGATCGTTCTTATAATATTGAAGATCATGATTAAATCGTTTTTATTATTTGGTCAAATGTTTTGAATTAATTGTAGATATGCATGAGAATGTATAATAAAAAACAATTCAAGTTTTTGATTCATTAAAAAGGACTAGGCAAAACCCTAAATCCCATTTTGGTAGATACCGTCCCCGGGGACTGTAAACATTAAAAAATCATTTCAACAGGAATAGCGCAATATTTGGCGTTAATTCGCTTGAAAACAATAAAATTTATCAAAGAATTTAATTCTTCAGAAGATAAGCTCATTATCAGAAATATGTCTTGCAGCCAAAATAACGCTATATCGAAAAACCTCATATTCTGGGGGTCACAAGGGTTTTCTATTTCCCGGAGTACTGTAGTAGATAACCGACCAAATTCAATAATATTTAACAGAATGATTGACACTGCTTCAACTATATAAAATACAATGGCATTGTAAACGATTTTAGATAACAATATTTTCTTTGGTTAAAGATTCACGCGGAGTATAAAGTTTAACTAGAACCCATGAGTTTATTTCATTCTTCTTTAAAAATTCTATCCCAGAAGAATTACTTAAAAAGAAATTTTGTTTCTCATAACTTTCTCTCATTCATTGTAATATTTTATATCGCTAGAATTAACGAATTTTCTTCACGTGATGCCGTGGCATTTAATTTATTTTTTGACTTTTCTCTGTTATACATTTAAGCGATGTAAATTAACGCTTCGGACGCACAACGGTTCCCGTTCCCTAGTTTATTAAATTTTTTCCAACATCAGTAGTAATGTGGCGTAAAAGCTGCATAAGAAAAATTTTTTCTATTTATTTTTTTTTTGTATAAAACCTTGATCCAATATTCTTCTTTAATATCGGATTGATTTGGACTTTTAGACTTGTCGATCTTCATTAGAATCCTCATCTCGAGTTGTGTAAATTTGGTGTTCAAATTTGTCGTATACTGTATATCATCTGGAATCACGAAGTAAAGTTGAATTATAGACTGGCATGCTAGTTATTACTTTTGTCAGCTCAATTTGTTTTAAAATCACGTTACGGATCATATGATTTACTATGTTCGTAACTACGATTTTAATAGCAAACCTCCCATATGATGTCCTGGTAAATAAATTGTGCTATGGTTTGAGCAGTACAATCAACTACAGCAGCGGCTTCAGCCCATTTAGTCAGATATTTGGTTGTAATAATAATATAGCGGTTGTTCGTGGTAGTCCAACGTGGTAAGTCCACTGCACTAAAATTTTGTTTATCATGGTAAATTTTTTACAAACCCAGCTTTTGGCTTACGACGTATTGAAAATTGGTCTTTTCCTTCACCTCTCAACTTCTTTACTTTGAATTTCTGGTTTCCAGTACGAATTAGATGGATTACGTAACATTCAAATAAAAATCCCCTGGAGCTAGCAATTTAGGATTTCGCAAAATTCTTATTTTGTTCAAACAATCATCCCATGCCTTTTCCTCTAAGCTTTCTTGAATTCTATCAAATACATAAGCAGAAGCCCATTCATAATGGTAATCACAATGTGTTTCGTCTGGACAATGCGATTGCTTATTTTGATGTTAACCGGTTAAATATATTTCTTTATCCGGTTAAAATAGATTAATTAACTCCGGCCAAAGTTCAATTTCTGGCCAGATTTAAGATTTTTATGATTGACAAATTATCGTCTAACTCCGGCCAAATTTATAGTACTGGCCTAAGTTAACTTTAACCGGTTAATTAACCGGTTAACGAATATTTGAACCGGATAACCGGTTAAGAATTTTTTGCCGGTTCCAACCTCTACAATACCTCCAGGTATTTGTTAAGTATTTCTTGAACCAAATGTTGGTTCATTGCTGTCTTCTGGTCAAGTGGCTTTCCTGTCACAATTTCATTGAAGGATGGATCGATTGCCACATCGCAATATGCAATTCTACCAATGTCAGGTAGGCTTGTCCGTATATTGCCTCTGTTAATTCCCCTGTTTGTGTTAAAGCCCAAAAATTTGGGACTTTCTTCTTGGGTCTCTTCGTTTATTTCCCATAGAGGTTCCAAGGTTTCCAATTCCTTGATAATTGGGAACGATAGGCATTTGTTCTATAACTTAAAGCGGGTTCAGGATCTTCTCCGTAATTTATGAAGTCCATGTAGTCTGTCGTATTGGTCTTTGTCAGGCGTCATGATAAAAGTAATATAGGTATAATCTTTTTTATATACTTGTGCATACCATCGATTGGCACCCTCGATGACCTTGTCGGAGTATTTCCTACCAGAGCTGATTCCGTTGATATCGCTCTCTGTTAAGAATCCTACTTATTCCGTAAGTTCTCTTAAATACTTTTTCAACTTCGTAAAGTATGTAGTTTCCTCTCTGTGACTATTCTATTATTGTGTATATTGTCAATATGTTTTATCAAAATGATCAAGACGTTTTTTGATCATGAGGATTGTTGGATGGTCGTCTACCCTTTTTGACCATGATTCCGCACGCTTCAAGATTTCTTCGAAAGGTAAGACGTCCAAGAAAGCTTTTTGTCTTTCTTTGTAGATGATTCCTCCAGGAGCAAAATATTCAATGTCTTCCGGGTCTAGCTCTACTGAGGGATTCGACTTAAATATTCAGCTTTGCCATTCATCCATTCGATGTGTTCTTCATCAAAAGACCATGAGAAGCTTTGTTCAGGGCAGGCATCTTCCTAACAAAAGGGGATGGATTCGCGATTGCGAATTTCCTTGAAGATTTTTCATCTTCTTCCATACCTAGCTTCTGCAAGTCGTTCCAAAAGGTCATCATGATATCGGCTTCGGGTTTTTGTATTACCTCGCAGTTAATTAAATTAACATCAACGTCATTACCCAAGATACAATAGTTTGAAGATTGTTCAGCCATGTATATACGGTGGTAGAGAAGTAACTTGTACCCATTTTATTGTTAAAGGTGTTTTGCTGAGAACTTGAGAATTTCCCGCGATTAAATCAGCAGATGGTTTAAACCTATTTAATCCAATTTTTTTGGCAAATTGGAATAAACCGCCAGTTTCGTGAATGTAAGTAGGTTCAATTATTCCAAAGGAAACTAACGTAACAGCTAGTTCAAATATGAATGTTTAATTTGTAAATTTATTAACTTAAAACGAAACTAACTTTAAAAGATATAAAATTATTACGGGTTTTCTGGAGATTCACGAAGAATATAAAAGATTTATCTAAAAGTTACACATGATCAGCAAATTACGAATTAAATACTTTTAAAATTTTTAAATAAAAATATTAATTATTAAATATATTTTTAAATAAAAAATTTAGTTGAGTTTAAATTATAGTAAAAAGTACAATTAAATATTATATGTATTAGTAATATTTATTCAATATTTTAATTTAACGTCAAATTGCATGTCAATATTACAAATAATGTCACATTATACTTTATAGCGACGCTTGCTGACAAATCTAGATGCTTTTTCCAGCGCACAATTCCATCACAAACTATGTACATGAATACATAAAATAAGGATTCGGCTTCGTCATTAATCGTATACATATGAGGAACTCCAGTTTCAAATCTCATTAAAACCTAAATTTAAAATGATATGAAATTATATATATCGGCGCACAAATAATACGCGAGTAAACATATGGCAGAGAAGAAAAAAGATAAGTTCCAGTCAAAGGAGCGTTCATTAGTTCAAAAGCACTCGATGCCACACCCCAATCGATAAGACAACCTTGTTTTTTGTACACGATATTTAAATATGAAACGTCACGATGAAAATGTGGCGATCATGAAAAAACTTTAAAGCTTTTGCAATATCGCAAAGTCTTTAAGTCTTTCAAACCGCGCTTTTTAGCTTCAAGATGTACACTCCCCTCCAAAAATATCCGACCACTTGCCGATCATTTACCGATCATTTGAAATTATAGCTGATTTCGACGTAACAATTTATTAATAAAATTTTTACAAAATTTATATATGTAATGCAGAAAAGCTCATATTTTTTATTTATATTATT